GCGCCCGGGGCCCGGGCGGGGCTCTCCCCGCGGCCCCTCACCGCCGCCCCGGCCCCCAGGTTTCCGGCAGATCGCCTTGAACAAGGTGGCAGTCCTGCTGCTGGCCGGCGGGCAGGGCACCCGTCTGGGCGTCACCTACCCCAAGGGCATGTATCGCGTGGGGCTGCCCAGCGGGAAGACCCTGTACCAGCTGCAGGCCGAGCGGATCCGGCGCGTGGAGCAGCTGGCCGGGGAGCGCCACGGGACGCGCTGCACCGTGCCCTGGTGTGTGGTCCCCCCGGCGCCGCCCCAGCCCGGCCCCAGGCCCCCTCCTTCAGCCCTCTGAACGCCGCTCCCCGCAGGTACATCATGACCAGTGAGTTCACACTGGGGCCCACGGCCCAGTTCTTCAGGGAGCACGAGTTCTTCCACCTGGACCCCGCCAACGTGGTTCTCTTCGAGCAGCGCATGCTGCCCGCAGTGACTTTCGACGGCAGGGCCATCCTGGAGCGCAAGGACAAGGTCGCCATGGCCCCAGGTGCGGCCCGGCCCCGAGGGAGTGGCCGCCCCGCCCGGACCTTGGAGTTCGGTGGGGGACGGGAGGCCCTGGCTGGCTGTGATCTGGGGGGAGTCCCCTGACGCCCCCGTCACGTGGCACAACCTCGCAGCTTGTTTCCTGCTGCACTTTCTAATCGCGCAAGACCTGTTTTTCTCTCTCTCCCTCTGCAGATGGCAACGGGGGTCTGTACTGCGCACTGGCAGACCACCAGATCCTAGAGGACATGGCGCGCCGGGGAGTGGAGTTTGTGCATGTGTATTGTGTTGACAACATCCTGGTGCGACTGGCAGACCCAGTCTTTATCGGCTTTTGTGTGCTGCAGGGCGCAGACTGTGGCGCCAAGGTGAGCACCACGCCCGCCTCCCGCTAGCCGCCCCTCAGTGCCCTTCCTCGCCCAGATCTCTGAGTCCATCCCCGGTGGCTGCAGGTGGTGGAAAAGGCCTACCCCGAGGAGCCTGTGGGCGTGGTGTGCCAGGTGGACGGTGTGCCTCAGGTGGTGGAGTACAGCGAGATCAGCCCAGAGACTGCTGGGCTGCGCAGCCCAGAGGGCAGCCTGCTGTACAGCGCCGGCAACATCTGCAACCACTTCTTCACCACAGCCTTCCTCCAGACGGTGGTCAGGTGTGCAGCAAAAGGAGGCTAGGGAGTGTCAGCCAGCGCTGCCGGGGCCCATCAAGGACCCCAGCGCCAGACTGGTCTGAGGGCCCCGGGCTCAGTTTGCCCTGGCCCAGCCTGAGGTGGGCTGAGGCTCTGAGTGATAGGTGAGAGGGAGGCACTGGAGAGCAGTGGGAGTCCTGCCGTGGGCAGGTGGGAGGCTCTGGGGTCACGTCTGCCTTTCCCAGGTCTGCCAGCTTCCATTCGCCAGGGCTGTGTGTGGCTGGTGGTGCCCAGATCTTGGCATTGCGTGTGCAGAGTGCAGACCTGTGCCCTGCACAGAGATCTGGCTGACCATGCATCCTGGGAGACCCTGTCCGTAGCTCCTTCCTGTTTGTGCTCTGCCCCCAGGGAGTTTGAGCCTTTGCTGAAGCCTCACGTGGCAGTGAAGAAGGTCCCCTACGTAGATGAGGAGGGAAACCTGGTAAAGCCGCTAAAACCGAACGGGATAAAGATGGAGAAGTTTGTGTTTGATGTGTTCCAGTTTGCTAAGTTAGTGGTAGAGTCATTTACTTTTTCTTTTCTTTCCTGTCTTTTGGTGGGTTTGGAGAGGGTCTGGGAGACACCGGTGCCCCCTCCCCATGCTGGGGCCCACAGTGCCCTCTCCAGGGTCCTTGTAAGCCAGGCCCCGCCTTGCTGGCCCTGCCCCGGTGCTCCTGGGACAGACCCCCCCTTTGTCCTTGTAAGCCAGGCCCCGCCTTGCTGGCCCCGGCCCCGGCCCTGGCACAACCAGCCCCTCTTCCACCAGGAACTTCGTTGCCTTTGAGGTGCTTCGGGAGGAGGAGTTCTCCCCGCTGAAGAATGACCACACTGCTGCCCACGACAATCCCTCCACCGCCAGGCAGGCCCTGCTGACCCAGCACTACCGCTGGGCCCTGCAGGCGGGGGCCGGATTCCTCGACTCCCACGGAGTCCTGCTTCCTGAGCTGCCCACGTGAGTAGGCCCTGGGGGACAGCCTGGAGGTGTCAGGACTCCTTGTCCTCAGGGCCCTGCAGCACGCACCCGGCTTGGAGCGGCTCAGGCTGAGCCTGGCCTCTCCGGTCCTACCAATAGCCACCGGGAGACGGAGGAGTCGGACCCAGTCCCAAGCTTCTTCATAGCTTTGACCCTGACACCAGGCACCACCTTCACAGGGCAGCCAAGACCTTGGCGTTGCTCCTCGCGGCCTGGGACGACTACTGGGCTGCGATGCTGCGGTGCTGGGGGGAATGGGAGGGTCAGGGCCCGTGGGAGCTTCGCAGGCTGAGCAGCGGCGGGGAGGGGTGCAGCACTGGGCCGTGCAGAGGAGGAGGAACTCACAGAGACGGGGCTGGCAGGGCCTGGTGTGTGGGGTGCCCCATCCTGTCCGGCAGACTGGTTACAGGTGCCGGGGTGGGCTCCGGAGGCAGCTGCTGACTGTGCTGCTCCTTCCAGCCCGCCTCCAGGTGGAGACCCTCCGGCCATCTGTGAGATTTCACCCTTGGTGTCTTACTGTGGAGAGGTAAGAAGGGCCTTCCTGTCTGGGGTTTGTCTCGGGTCTGGAGGACTCCAGGGAGAGGTGGGTGCTGGGGTGGATGAGTCACCGCCCTGCTGTGTTTCTTGGTCAGGCCTTCCCTGGGTTCAGGAAGACCTGGGATCCGGGCCTGTGGGCTGTGGCTCCTGGGGTGGCTGCGTGGGCCATGGGCAGCCAGAGGTGCCTGTGTGACTTGGGAACGCCATTTCCAGGGTTTGGAAGTACTGCGAGGCCAGCAGCTCCCGTCCCTGTTCATCTTGGATGAGGCCCAGGCCAAGGTGCTGCAGCCACACAGCACCTGATGTGCTCCCAGCCAGAGATCTCAAGGTGGGAGCGAAGGCCAGCCTAGGGCTCTGGCGGGGGGTGCAGTGATTTACATCTCCAGCCTGTGGGGCAGGGTCGGGATGTGCTGGTGTCCTCCCCTCCACCACCCATTGCCTGTGGATGCAAGTGACTGCTGGCCTGCTACTGGCTCTTTGGTTTTATTTCTGGCTGGGAGGGGGCTTCGGGGTGGAGTGAGAGCTGTGGCTTCGTCTGGGGGAGCAGGGTAGGGTGTCCTCTGAAGCTAGTTCTGGCCAAGCAGGCCTGCTCTGCTCTCAGCCCTCCCAGAATGCAGCTCTGCACCGCAGGGAGGGGTCCAGGCTGCCCCCGCCTGCTCTCCTCCCCGCCTGAAGCAGTAACCAGCGGAAGCCTGGGTGTCACCCTGCATGCAAGTGCTGGCCTTGGCACACAGAGGAGTCAGATGCCATGCTGAAGGCCGGCTCTGGGAGGCCTGGCCGCACAGGCCAGAGCCGGTGGCCTTGGCTTCCTCAGACGTCTCCCAAATCCTCTGCCTTTCAAGCATGGCCACAAGCACGCATGCCTGCTACTGTGTGTGTGAGTTCTAGGGCTTGAGTTTAGGGCCTCTTGGCCTTTTCTGCTTACAGCTGGTGCTTGACTACTTGAATCATTCTCCCACTTCTGGCTTAGTAGCAGTTGGAGATAAGTATCAGACCTATCTACCCAGGCTGGCTTCAAACCAGGATTCTCAGATCTCAGCCTTGTGGTGGTGAGGATTACAGGTGTGAGCCAGTGGCCACATTGTTCGAGCTTCCTTCAAAACCCACCGAGGCGGGCTGGGAAGGTAGCTTAGTGGTACAGCGCTTGCCTTGCATGCATGAGGCCCTGGGTTCGATTCCTCAGCACCACATAAGCCAAAAAGAAAAAAAAAGCCGGAAGTGGCGCTGTGGCTCAAGTGGTAGAGTGCTAGCCTTGAGCTGAAGAGCTGAGGGACAGTGCCCAGGCCCAGAGTTCAGGCCCCATGACCGGACCCAAAAAAACAAAAACAAAAAAAGAAAGAAAACTGGGAAGGGACTAAGAAAAGGAACATGCTGGTGAGCACTGCTCATCATCCTGGGGTCCACAGCACCCCACGGAGCAGGAGGGATAATGCAGCACCAAAGGATATAAATTAGATCTGAGGATCCCAATTCTGTGAACCTATGAATAAGCAACACTAAGAGAAGAGATACCACCGGGCACTGATGGCTCACACCTGTCATCCCAGCTACTCAGGAGGTTGAGATCTGATGATCAAGGTTTAAAGCCAGCCCAGGCAGACAAATCTGAAACACTCATTTCCAATTAACTAGCAAGAAGCCAGAACTGAAGACATAGTACAAATGGTAGAGTGCCAGTCCTAAGGGTAAAACACAAGAGCACAAATCCTAGTACTGATGTGCATGCGTGCATGTACACACACATGCACACACACACATGCACACGATGAGTATCCAACTACTAGTATTATCCAGCAAATCTACTGTGAGTTCCACAGAGCTCCTGGAAGCAGAATGCAGACATACAATGAATGTTCACACCAGCACTCCTCACAAGAGCTTGTGTGTGGAAACGCCAAGTGTCTGTTGACACAAGAACAGATAAACACAATGTGGTGTGTGGACACAGCATTATGTTGAGTAAAACCAGCCTCACAGAAGGACAACTACTTCATGATTCTGGTCATGACATTCCTAGAGCAACCAAATAAATTTGTAGAGACAAAGCAGAATGAAAACGCCAGGGGCTGTTTGTAGGGGACAGTGTGATTGGGACCTCAAAACAGTTTAAGCAGTACATATAGGAAAGGTGCACGCATGGTGGAGGTGCCAAGTTGTACATAACACCTGAACTGCTGAAATGCTCTTTTATACTATGGATGACTTAGCACCTGAGCCAACCTGGCCCCAGACAGAGGTAAAAGGGGTGGCAGACATGGGGACAGGCCATCCCCATGTCCATCTGCCCAAATCCAGCAGATGTGAAGCCTGAGGGGGCATGGCCCAAGTCTGTAAGGGGTGGGGGGCAGGAGTTCACCTGGGCCCAGAACTCCACATGGGGGTTGGGGAGGGAAGACTGCATGGAGGCACCTGTGTGGTCACGTGCTTCTCACCTCCCGCAGGTCCTCTCCTTTGCTGCCCAGGCAGATCTGCGATAGAGATGACACACCTGGCTTGTCTGGGCAGGGGAAAAGGCCTCAGAGCAGTATGTCTGGAGCTCTATGGGACTGGCCTAGCCAACCAGCCTTGGAGACAGTCTGATGGTGGCCATTTGCAGGGTCTGCCCACCAGCCTGACTTGCATCCTGTCCCCTGGGCTGTGGGGGAGGAGCAAGTGGACTCTGGGCCCAGAGCCAGAGCCCACCTTCCCACAGGGGTCTGGCCACTGTGGAAGGGGCCAGTCTCCTGAGGGCTGTGGCAGCTCTGGGCTCCCAGGCAGCCCTGAGCCCAGTAGCTGCCACAGAGCTGGGCTGTGCCTCCACCAGGCTCCAGGAGACTAGCTGCTCCCCAGTATGGTGATGGAGGCCTGGGATGAGAGAGAACAGCTCCCAAGAAAGGCTCTGCATCTCCAGCCCCCCTGTGGCCACGGCTGGGGCTCACACACAGCTCTATCTCCGGGATCCTGGGTGAGGGGTGGTGGGCAAGCGCCGGCTGCCCCAGGCTGCGCTGGGGGGTGCAGTGGCCCATGGAGCACCCACCCCAGGGCGCGGGCTGCCTTCCTCCCAGTGAGGGTACCGTGGCTTGTCCCTCACACTGTGGAAGCACTGGGTCCCTGACCAAGGCAAGCAGTGTTATGGCAGGCCCATGGCCCAGCGAGCGGGCTCCACGCGCTCACGCTGCTGTGTCAGGTACAGGATGTCACCGCCAGCCCGCCAGGAGCCACAGTTTAGGAACAGCGTGGGGCAGGGATCTGGGGTCACCCTGGACAGGAACAGGCTTGGGAATGGAGCACTCCACGCCGGGCCTGGCTCCCAACCCTTGCTTCCCGCAGAGCTGAGGCTCCCCTGCACGGGCAGGAAGCACTCACAATGCCGCGCCGGCCACGGGCCGTGGGTCAGATGCTGGGGAGAGAGCTGGCTCCTCCCCTCCCCTACGCTCCCGCCCCTCCCGTCCTGGCTCCGCCCCCCGGGGAAGCTGCGCAGCCAAGTCCCCGGCCCGGCCCCCGAGTGCCGCGCAGGCCGCCCCCTC